CTTTCTTTCTTTCTTTCTTTCTTTCTTTCTTTCTTTCTTTCTTTCTTCTTTCTTCCTCTCTCTCTCTCTTTCTTTCTTTCTCTCTCTCTCTCTCTCTCTCTCTCTCTCTCTCTCTCTCTCTCTCTCTCTCTCTCTCTCTCTCTCTCTCTCTCTTTCTTTCTTTCTTTCTTTCTTTCTTTCTTTCTTTCTTTCTTTCTTTCTTTCTTTCTTTCTTTCTTTTTTGTAGCCTACACAGCTTGAGTATCCCATACCTAAAATGCTTGTGATAAGAAGTCCTTTGGATTTCAGATTTGGGGATATTTACATATAGGTAGTGAGATAACTTGGGGATGAGATCCAAGTCTAAATATGAAGTTCATTTAAGTTTTCTTCCAAGTAGCCTGAAGATAATTTAATGCAATATTTTATGCTCACATTTAAAGTTTTAACCTGTCACATGAGGTCGGGGACCATTTTCCACTGTGACATCAAGTTGGCATTTAAAAGCTTTCAGGTTTTGGATCATTGTATACTTAGAGATTTTCTATTAAAGATTCTCAACCAATATTACATTTGCTATTATACCTATTATGTTAATTCAGTAAAAGCAAAACGTCTTTGAATTTTAGAATTAAGATTAGTTGGATATAGTGACTCATGCCTTTAATCACAGCACTCCAGAGGCAGAGGCAGGTGAATCTCTTGTGTCCTGGATTGGATGAAGCCAAACCATTGATGGCCTAAACTACAAGGAACTCTGACAACATGAACCCTGTCTCCCCTCTACCTGTGTGGGAGATTAAAATGCAAAAGAGCACTCAAAGATGTTAACAGTTAAAAATATTGAACGTTTACTGCATGTGCCAAATATTCTCAAGTGATTGTGTGTGTGTGTGTGTGTGTGTGTGTGTGTGTGTGTGTGTGTGATGCATGTTCTGTGCTGGTGGGAGAACATGTAATGCGTGCATGCATGGGGAAGCCAGAGATAGATGTTGTATCTTTCCCTGTCACTTTCCATGTTACTTTAGTTTTTGAGGCAGGGTCTCTCACTGAGCCTGGAGCCAGTTTGTGATGACCAGCTGGCTGGCAAGACCCAGTGATCTCCCTGCCTTGACCTCCCCAGCTCTACATTTACAGGCATGTGCCATTGTATCTGAATTTTTATGTGGGTGTTGGGGATCTGAACTCAGGTCTTCATGTTTCATGTAGTTTTCACTGAGCTATAAATGTTACCTAGCTCAATTTCTCCAGACATTAGCATCTTCTATGACCACAGTGCATCTGTCAGAACTAAGCTGTTATCTTGCTGTTAACTCTTAATAATTTTATTAATTTTCATCAGTTTTTCCCAGTACTGTCTGCTACAGGATTCTGACTGGGATACCACAGTACATTTAGTCATCAGGTTTGTGGTAATCTTTATTGTCAACGAACAGGATTTGAAATCAACGAGGAGATACACCTTTGGGCATCCCTATGAGGGCATTCCTGGAGAGGCTTAACTGAGGATGAAGTACTGTAGCACCCACGCTACTACCCATTCACCATGTCCGAGCGAGGGGCTGAGGATTAAAACAGAGACAAGACAGGAGGTCATTCGTCTTAGTAGAATGCCCCTTATTGAAGGAGGGAAGAGGCCTTAAATACAGGCTTACAGCACAGTGGAAGAACCTGGGAGGGCAAAAGTTCACTACAGATGTTTTACATTTCTAGCATTACACCAATATGCAGGATACGCAAACAAGGAACCTCTGGAAAGTTGTTTAGGAGGAATGAAACCGCCAGGGAATTAGAATAGGGAGGACGTCTGATCAAGGTTAACAAGCAAGGCAACAGCTGCCCAAGGAACAGGGGTCAGGGCCCAACAAAACACCTTTCCTAAATATGGGTGGCACCAGTCTATATGCTTGTATTGTAGACAGAATACATAATTAAAAAGGAGGAAGCCACATGGAGACCAGCATTCCTGTCTCTCTGCTTCCTGGTTGTAGATGCAGCATGGCCATTATCCTTCTGCTGCGTGCCTTCCTCAAATGATGGACAGAACGCCCTGAAACTATGGGCTGAAATGAACTCTTCTAGCCTTAAGTTGCTTGTGTTAGGGATTTTGTCAGAGCATCAAGAAAAGTAACTAATATGTTGTCTTTCTTGGTCAGAGCTTATACAAAGTCTGTTTCCATGATCATGACTGGTCATGTTTCACAGAAAATGGATTAATTTGGGTTGTTTTGATTTCTTTTTAGATTTCACTGAGCTTGTGAAGTTTTGGTAAGAATGCCTCCAAGTGAGCTGCCTTTCTCGCTTTTGTAAGGAGTATGTGCTGTCAACACAACTTATCACAGGTCAACATCAGCTCCATCATGATGAAGGCTTTACATGAATGTCTTTAATGAAAAGTTGGTATTGCTTTCCCCCTTTCTATTCTTCAGAAGCCAGCTTCTCAGGTCAGCATATTACCCCTTAGAAGGATGTGTCTGCTTGTATTATCTGGCAACTGTTACTGGGAAATTTCCTTAGGAAAGCTGTGTCTTTTCATCTATCACATGTTGAGTTATTGGGTCATCTATTTATATCAGTGCAATGTCGTGTGTGTGTGTGTGTGTGTGTGTGTGTGTGTGTGTGTGTGTGTGTGTTCTGTGCTTTCACCTGCAATCCAGCACGGGCGACTTTTTCTGTTACTCGAATTGTTCCAGTTTCTGCTGTCGGGGGCTCTTTTATTTGGGGTCCTGTGTCCTTTATGACAGGTTACCACTACTTTTGCTGTTGTTGTAGGTAACTTCCTTATCTTCAGGCTCTAGAGCAGCTCCTAAATGATTCTTTGCAACATTTTTTTCATTCCTGTGTCTGAAACGAGTAATATCCTCTTGATTATATAGTTTTAGGCTAATAATCCCTACTTCATATTTTCTGTGATGGATTATTTAGTTTCCTGGAAACTGGAGGTAAACAGGAGGGAATGAGAAGAGTGGAACTTTGGACTTCTGGGGAAGTAGAGAAGCCAAGGCATTTAGAGGAAAGATGAAGTCCATGGTAGACTTCTGAAGTCCACCTTCTGGAGTCACTGTCTGAAGTTTTCATCGGCTATCTATCTATCTATCTATCTATCTATCTATCTATCTATCTATCTATCTATCTATCTACCATTTATCTCTCATCTATCTGTCTATCTACCTATCATCTATCTATCTATCTATCTATCTATCTATCTATCTATCTATCTATCTATCTAACTTTGAGACAGGGTCTCATGTAGCCTAGGCTGGCCTCTAACTCTTTACAGAGCTCATCATGACCTTGAACTCTTGATCCTCCTACCTTGACTGCCTAAATGAGGGGATCACAGGCATGCACCATCACACTCAGCTTCATGGATATTTCATCTCTTAGAACTGGCTTGCCTCACAACTGTTAGAAGATTGACAGGCAATTCTGGGCTTGTTGATGTCCACTGTTCAATCCATTTGGGCTTTAGTGTTCATTGTCAGTTATTTTTCATTAGGACCAGGTGTTTGAGACAAAGAATCATGCCACTCTTAATGAGCAAATTTTTTTACTTTGTCTAGAGCAAAGTCCTTCACCATGGAGTGCTGTCAGTGCCATGGTAACCACAGATGTACAGACCTTGACTTGACTTTGTGAGTTGAGAGGCCAGAGACACCCCCTCCTTTGCCCAGTGTCAAAGAGGACAGCCAAGGCAGGCTCTGAATCTCCTAAAGTGTGCTAGCCGCTGGAAACCCTCAGATGCCTTATTATAAGAAGATAGCAGTACTAGTATGCTGTGAGGATGAAACTAGATGATGTTTATCAGTGTGTAGTACAGCATCTGGCACATAGCAATGAGCTCTGGCCATCATTTGTGATTAAGGCTATTTTTTATTTCATTTTAGGACGCTTCCTTATATTAATATAATAGAGGATTCTAAGACTTTGGTCATCTACACAATCCCTACTCCTTATTTATTCTTAAGCAAGGTCAGTTCAGAGAAGTTCTTACTCCCTCCTGAGCAGATGAGGAGGAACCCTGGAGATTCTGATGGCCTCTGCCTCCATCCACACCCAACCACAACCAAGAGACAAGAGCTGACCTTATCCATAGGTCAAGCCCAGATGGTTTACTATTTTATGTAGAAAATGTCAGCTGATCCTTCCTGGTGAGCGACTTTATCCTTGAGAATATTATGGGACTGTGCTAAAAAAGCATTCTCCCTTCACAGGACCATCAGTCTCTGGGGAACAGTGTGGGAGATGGTCCTTTATTATTTTCATTTTTTTGTGTGATATATGAGGCTACTTGGATGGTTTTCTCTGCTACATAAAAGTAGCTCATGTGAATATATATATGTATAGATATATAGATAGACAGACAGATAGATAGATAGATAGATAGATAGATAGATAGATAGACAGACAGATAGATTTGTATATCTTTTTCTTCTTGCTGCAGCTAAAGTGCTTAGGGGTTGCTTTTGCTGCAGGTGTGTGCCTAGTGTGAGCATATTCTCTGTGTGTGTTCCTACATTAAGGGACAACTTAACTCTTTCTGCTTTTTGGCTTCACTAACACTGCTTAGTATCACAGACTCCAAGGGGTAGTAGACATCTGGAGGACGGAACTCTGCGATGTCCCTAGGGAGCTTTACTCTGGTCGGTTCTTGCACTTGCTAACGATGCCTGAGTCCTGAGAGCAAACCCATTCACAGAAAGCTGTCCAGCCCTGTTCCATCTGATCGTGTTTTACTTTACAACGTTAGCTTTGGAGAAGTGTCTGCCTCCCACGGTGTACCTAATTGCCTGTCAGCAGCCCAGCATGGCATTCTAGATGCACGGCCAGTAGTTCTAAGTGGAGACAGGCACTTCCAGGAAGGCACTGGTGGGATTCCTTTCTGAAAATAAATATCATTCTTCTCACTATTTACTATACTTTTGATTTAATTCAGACTGATGTCTAATTCAAGAGGAAATTGTTAGTTGCTTTCAAAGTTGCTGATGAAAAGATATTTCCTGAGTCTACTTCCTAGTGAGTTAGTCAGGCAGAACTATTCATGTGTTGAGGTGTCAGGACACGGCTCATCCTGTGTGGGGTGAGCACCAGGAGAGCTTCTGTGTATTACAGTAGCTTGTTGATGGATCTGGGTGCTGAATGCATGGAAAGTTCATCTTATGAAAGTTCATCAAGTTATATATGAGTGATTTGTGTACTTTACTATTAAGCATGTCATGCTTTATTAAAAAGTTTACTTTTTGTGTTATATCCAGATAATGGAATATTATTCTGCATTAAAAAATTGAGCTTCATGTAATGAATACACATTTTAAGAAGTCCCTAAATGAATATTACTATGTGAAATAAAGCATTCTGAAAAGGCTTCGCGAACTAGGATTCCAACCATATGACCTAGAAGAAGCAAACCCATGGAGACCATCAAAAGCATCAATGACTGTTAGGGCTTAGTCAGAAGGGAAGGATAAAGTGCCCAACTACTGAGGACCCTCAGCATGGTGAAACTATTCTATAGGAGGCTACAGTGATTTCCCCAAGTCCACGGAACATAGAACGCCAAGAATGAACCCCAGTGTCATCTATGGACTCTGTGTGATAGAGGCAGATCAATTTAGATTAACCTTTGGCAGTGCATGGGCTAAACTGGCTGGGAATATTGATAATAGGGGTGTCTCTGTGTGTGCACAGGGAGGAAGTACTGGAGGCACATGGGACATCTCTGTACTTCTAGCCTAAATGTTCTATGAACCCAAGATTGCTCTGAAGAATAAGGTCAATTTCAAGGAAAATGACATACATATTTTGTTAGTCAGCTCTCTGTCACTCTATCAGTTATTAGTTGTTGTTTTTTTTTGTTGCTATGACATCATAGTTGACCAAAGCAACTGAAGGAAGGAAGGTTTATTCTGGACAAATATGGCAGAGCAAGTGTGGCATTGAGAATGGCTTTGGTTGTGGTGGCAGAAGTATGGGGTGGCTGGTCATATTGTATCCATACTTAGGAAGCAGGAGAGATGGATGAGGACACTCACTTGCTTCCTCCTTTTTATTCAGTTGGGTCCCCCATCCCATGACATGGTGACACCTACATTCAGGGTGTATCTCCTCATCTCAGTTAAATCTCTGTGGAAACATATCAGACATGCCCAATTACCCTGTCTTTGTGGTGATTTCAAATTGGATCAAGGTAGCCACAAGTTTAACTATCACAGCTACTTTAACCAAACCCTGACGTAATCACCTTATAAAGGCAGGTTTATTTATTTTGTTATTCAGCTCTCTGTCACCGTTTTGGCTCACCATTTTGGAGGGGTTGGCGCATCCTCTGTTGGCCCCAAGACCTTGGGACAAACACTGCGTCATGACAGGAAAGTAAGGTGAGGTAGAACTGCTCACTGTATGACCAACAAGCAAAGGAAAGGAAAGAGGGGGTTAGAGTTCCACAAGCCACTTTAAGGGCAGGCCCCCACTACCTAAAGACCCCCTACTAGGCTCCAGCCCTTAAAGAGTCTGCTATTGTGGAACATTATGGGACAGCAGACTCCAGGGTTCAAGCCTTCAACTCACAGGCTTTGAGAAGACATTTAAGATCCAAACTGTAGTGCATTCAAATGTTACTTTTAAACAAATGTCTTTACTTTTTGTTATCAACAGAACCACCCCTCTCTGTCTCCCAGGTATGTAATTAAGCCATGCTGTATGGTCGCTTCCTCCATACACATGTTTAGGTACATTAAAGAGAGTTGGGTTTGGTTCAGTTGGTAAAGTGCATGCTACATGTGCATGAGGACCCAAGTTTAACCCTGTAGTACTCATGCAATAAAAGCCAACTTTGGCAACATGTACCTGTGATCTTAGTTCTAGGGAGCTGGATGCTTGGGGATCCTGGGATGTACTGTCCAGCCAGTCTAGGCAAATCAGAAAAGCTCCAGGTTCAGTGAGAGCCTGCCTCACAAAATAAAGTGAAGTGCTATTGCAGAAGACATCTAATGGTGATTCAGGTCTCCATGCACACATGTGCAAACACACGCACGACAGATCAGAGAGCAAGAAATCCCTTGTTCCCTGTGGGCAGTTCACGACAATTTAAGAAAAACATAGAAAAGGCAGAAAAGTTTTGGAGAATGGCAATTCTACTAATAAAAGCCATTAGTTTTCACTTGGAGATGCTACATGTTGCCATATGTGAATTGCTCTCACGGGCTCCATCTGTCACTATCTGATCCCTTATGACCACTGTGCCCACCCTCCACTGTGATGACCTGCTGCTGTTTCAATAACCCATAGAGGAAGAGCTACCAGGGACATTGCTGGAAGCAGACGGCCAGAGGTAGGACCTCAGCTTGAAGAGTAATTGATCTCTGTGTAAGTAGAAGCTTGCAGTCGAATGCTGGGATGTGGGAGTTTATGTCTACACAGAAAAATGCCAATATAAATAGAGTGTGTGCCTTGTGGTATTGTGAAAGAGAAAAAAGGAAACCTGGACTCTTCTTCATTTGAAGTGGTGACAGTTGGAAGAAAAGGATTTGGTAAATTTTATATGAAGCAGATGAGGCCCATTGGTCTTGTAGAACTCTGGGAAATGTCTTGCATCCTTCACATTGTAGTGGGTATCTCTCATGTTCTGCAAGCACTGTATAGAAAACATGGCTCCTAAGACAGAAGGCAACCATGGAAGCTGGAAGAAGAGGATTTAAGATAAATGAAGCAATTTAGTCTAAGTGATGAGAAAAATCTAGATACCAACTTTTCAAAAAATTATGCATGCTGAAAATATAAAACAGCGATAATATGAATAGTGGTACTATTAGGTTATGGCCTCAAGGGTAAAATATTCATGAGTCCAGAGTGATAGCAACAAATGATCAAATAGATAAATAAATGGAAAGAGGATAGAATTCTTCCTTACAGAATTCCAAGTACTATATATTAATACTGTCCCCTCTAGGGAACATTACATTCCCCTCCTATAAACTGTGTTCTGAAGAACAACGAGAAATACATAATGGCAGTTTTGGGGTGGGGGAACCTGGCAGGCCCTGTCCTAACCCACTGAGATCAGATGGGGACCATAGTAGTGCTGAGCTCTGCCTGTTTCCTGCATGCTGTGCCACAGGGTGACGAGAAAGGTTTCCCTCCCTCTGCTGTGTCCTTCCTAGAAGTGTAAAACCACAGTCCGCTCAAGAAAAAATGCCAGACAAGCTTCAACGCTGTGGTAGCCCACAGTAACTCCATCTTGACTCAAAGTGAGAGAGTTCAAGCTTGTCTTTGCTCCTCAAGGCTGAATAACAGGATGATTGACTAGATGTTTTACTCTTCAAGGCTGGAGAGCAGGATGTTTGGCCAAAGGTGGAGTTGCCAGATGTATTGAGAATTAAGGAGGTATTTATGCTTGTTTGTTCCTTGAGCCATGGTGTCCTTGAGATGGGGAGGTCTTTTGCCCACCCCCCTTGCTTTGGGTATAAAAAGGCTGTGAGAAATAAACTTGGGGCTGCTGTGGTATTGACTCAGAGCCCTCCCGAACCTATCCTCTGTCTCTGTCTTTTCTTTTATGTCTATCTGTTTTTTCTCAGTCCTCACTCCCCTATTCAGGTCTGTTCAACAGGTCCAGTGGAACCCGACACATGGAAGGTCATTCCACAAGTCATCCGTGCTGAAAGGCCATGAAAAGGAGAGCAGGTGTGACATGTGAGAGGCTAGAGGAGACGGGTAAGAAGAACTCTGTCCATGCTGAAGAAATCTAGAGTTTAGCTAACAACTTTGAAAAGTGTGCTATGTTGGTATAGGGGATTGATGAGGAGGTCAGTGAGTGGTGACGTTGGACTGTCTTAGGGCCTTTCTGGAAATCTAAAATTATGCCTGTGTTCGTTGCTTTTTTTCATCATTGAGACAAAAGCACTTGGTAGGGGAAAAAAAATTCAGCATAGAAAGTGCTGTTTTGGCTCACGGTTTTGGCGATTTCAACCCACCATGGTGGGAAACATGATGATCCTCCTGTCCTTGTATCATCCCACTGCCCAGTGGTTCCATCAGTGCTGGTGTCACAGGATGTGGCCACACCTAGCTCTTTCCCCGGGTGCTGGGGATCTAACCTCAGGTCCTCAAGCTTGCTATTGAATCGTGTCTCCAGCCTCCAAGTAGATTTTTATACATGAGAGAAATCCCTTGGTCTTCAATGAGGACTGTGAAGGAGAACGCCTGGGCTAGCGATGAATCAGCAGACCTCAGGTGGGATGGTGGGTACATCTGAGGGGCTTACTCCACTTTAGTGTATGATCACAGTGCTGGCATGCATGCAGTGTATGTGATAGTATGTTGGGATAGGCACAGCTGTGGTGTCCATTGTGGGTTGTTTCCCTTCCTTCCCTAAATATTCATATCTGCCTCTGAAGCAGGTAGGAAAAAGCAGTGTGAATTTGCATTTTTTTTTTTACCTTATTCTAATTCTCAGCAGGTAGCGAGGGTGCTCCCATGTGTTTTCCACGCAGCTTCTGATCTCTTTTCACCATTTATTCTTGCTCTTTTTTTAAAAATTTTTTTCTGTTGGTTCCCTTTCCTTCAGTGCGCTCCTATTTTATTATTTATTCGGAAAGCAGTTACAGAGTGTTCATTATGTCCAGAGCCTGGCAGAGCAAGGACGGCCGCTATCCCCTCTTGTCCATGGGGCAGGCCGCCTGGGCAGATGGCGGCGCAGAGTAGGATCTATCGAGAGGAGACCGGTGGATTGTGTAGAAAAGGCTGGCAGCTAGACACGGCAGAAGCCCCAGTTCCAGCTATCCGGTCTCATCTGGTTGCAGCGGTTTCTTTTCTCACAGCTCTGATTTCATAAGTGACAAGGAGCAGCTGACAGGAGGAAGGGCTTATGTCGGTTCCTAGTTTGAGGGAACCGATCAAGAAAACGGGTGCCCGGCCCACTTCCTGCCGTTTCTCCAGCCTGTCGGATGCTGTCCTCCACTTTCAGGGTGTCTTCCCTCCTCAGTTATCCTCTTCAAAAATTCTCTCACAGGCAGCCAAAGCACAGCTCACTGACACCTAGGCATTTCTTTATGTAACCAGCCGACGGTGACAATAGTCACACTAGGTCATCAGGAAACCAGTTCCTTCTGGGAAAAGACCTGGACGCAGATCCTTCCAGGAAGGACTGAGGACCTAGGCCAGTAGCCATAAAAGGGCTGAGAGGAATGAACTAGAGCCTGTGAGCAGGACGGGATACCCTGGCTGTGTCTGCTGCTGCTCCTGCAGCATGGAGGAGGTAGACGCCAACTTCTCTCAGCTCCTGTCCTCTTTCCCCAACATTCCAGCGGCTCAGAACCAGAGCTGGCCCCAACCCTTGACGGGTCTAGTATACAGGTGTATCACTAGCCTGAAGGAAGGAAAGGGCAGGGATTTGAACACAATAGAAAAGGGACAGTGCTGGAGGTCTGTGATTTACAGAATTCTGCCTTTTAGCCCATCCCTGACTCTCTGACACTGTGTGTGTGTGTGTGTGTGTGTGTGTGTGTGTGTGTGTGTGTGAGAGAGAGAGAGAGAGAGACAGAGACAGAGACAGAGACAGAGAGACAGAGAGAGAGACAGAGAGGGAGAGAGAGGTCTGATAGCACATTATAGCCACTCTGGAGCAGGTGCTCTGGGACTTGAGTCTGTGGCTGGTCTTTGGGAGCTCTGTGAACCTCTGATCTCTGAAATTTCAAGTCCTAATGAACTTCTAAAAAATTGTGTTTTATTCATTTGGTCAGCATGTGTGGATATATGTGGTTATGCATGCATACATGTGGATGTCATAGATGTCAGAGGTCAAGCTGCAGGAGTCAGTCCTCTCCTCTCACCATGTGGGTCTTGGGATTGAACTTAGGTCCCCAGCCTTGGTGGTAGACATTTTACTCACTGAGACACCTTGCTGGCGCATGGTGAACGTTTTTTTTTTTCCTTTTAAGGAGGCATTCCTCTGATTCTCCAGCAGCCTGTGGCCTATGTGACATGAGGATGACTGGCCAGGTGAAGTGGGACCCTGTATGGCAGGGAGGGAGCCCCTTGTCTCCATGTGACCAACAGATTGTTCTCAGTTTCCTCTTGTTTATAGTGCCCCTCCCCCAACTTGCTCCTTTATGATGAGTGAGCTACTTAATGTTTCATCAACTTGACACAATCCAGGGTCATCTGGGAAGAGGGAGCATCAGTTGAGGAACTGTCTCCATTAAATGTAGGCAAGCCTAATATTTGCTTGATTAATAATTGATGTGAGAAAGCCCAGACCACTGAGGGCAGTGTCATCTCTGGGAAGGTGGTCCTGGGTTATAAGAAAGCAGCTGAGCAAGCCATGGGGAGCAAACCAGTAAGCTTCCTCCATGGCCTCTGCTTCAGTCCCTGCCTTCAGGTTCCTGACTTGAGTTTCTGCCCTGACTTCCCAGTGATGGGCAGTGAGCTACAAAGTAAAACAGATCTTTTCTCCCCAGTTGCTTTGGGTCTGGTGTTTATCACCAGCAAAAGAAAACAACTCGGACAAGGAGCATCCTTTCAGAAATCCATGTAGGACCCCAGAGGAGAATCAGTCAACAATGGGTCTAATCCCATCGAAACAACTGCTCATCATCACACCGTGTGGGAGATTCCTAGGGATCACATTTAATTTCTCACAGACATACTAACTAGGAGGCTTTCCTCTTATCTCTTTGACAGAAAGACCCAGGCGAAAGGACTTGCTCAAAGATGCCCACGAGGACAGGCAGTGGCTAGACCCGAACCCTTTCTCCTGAAGCTGAAATGAGCATGCATGACTGTAACCACCCCGCAGTCCTGCTGGGCTGTAATATGAAGAGGCTGCTTGGAGCTCTACCCAGGGTGCTTCAAAACCATCCATTATTCTTCAGAGCCACAGATGTCATCACATTTTCCTTGGCGCTTTGAACCGGTACAAAACCTGAGGCCGCAGAAAGCCATTATCAGCAATGTTCCAAAGTGCGGGAGACCAGAGTTTTTGATCTCTGTTTCCCTGAGGCCTTTAAACAAACGACAAGGACGAAGAACAGTTATTAAAATAAAAATGCAGTGTTCAGGAATCTGTGCTGATAATCTTGGAATCTGACGGCTTTGTGTCTCTCTGGTTTAGCAGGGACCCAAATCCCATATGCCAGGCAGGCCTCCTTAGCCGAGAATTGCGGCTATTATCTGATTATTCAAGGTGAAAAACCCACGACGCTTCTGTCACCTGGAGACTTCGTGGGTTTTGTTTTTCCTAAGAATAAGTTTCGTTGGATGGACTTATCTGAATAACCCACCTTCCAGCCTTGTTTGGAAGGCTGTTGTTCTGATCAGAAAGGAGCTGATATTTCTGCAATGAAACCAGTTACGAATTTCACAGAAGTAAAAACCAATTTTCTGCAGTGTTCATGAGGACTTACACATATATACTCCCTCCCACTCTCTCTTTCTCTCTCTCTCTCTCTCTCTCTCTCTCTCTCTCTCTCTCTCTCTCACTCTCACACACACACACACACACACACACACACACACAGACTCTCATACACACATACAAACACACAGACTTTCTCTCACACACACAGACACACTCACAAACACATAGACTCTCTCACACATACACAGACATATTCAGAAACACACACACGCACACTCACACTCACACACACACACACACACACACACACTCACACTCACACACACACACCCCACAGGAATTCCTCTGCCCTGTGTTTTGGGTAAATTCATTTTATCCTCTCCTTTCCCAGCTCCCTCCACCTCGCCCAGGAATGCTGCATGCTATAGACATAGATCACGTTTATGACCAGCTAATTTCGCCCTTGTTCCATGATCTCTGTCTCCCTCCTGCCTTTCATCTTCTTTTTTTTTTTTCTTGTAAAAGCTGTTCATTGCTTCTAGAAGCCCCAGCAAATATCTCAAGAGCGCTGATACCTCCAGCAAGTCCTCACTCAGTCGGTTACGTACGAGCTTGCGAGGCATACAAGGCCAGCGCCACTCAGTAATCTTGTCAAGCCTGCCTCTCTACCTTCCCATCCTCATTCCGGGAGCCTATTAAATTAATGAGATAGAAGTCGGTGCTACAGCGGTCGACGTGTTATTGGTGTAGAGCACCGGTGCTGTTACAGTGTGCCTGTTTTCTCTCCTGGGACATTTAATTTCCGCTTCTCAAATGAGCTGCGAAGCTGTGAGGCCTGGCAGTGTTCGTTCCCGGCTCTCTGTGATGCAGATAATGAGGGTACTGATAGGTGCCTAGGAGACTTCAGTGGCTCCAAGCACAGCCATGGTCTGATAACGGTTTCTGCCAGCAGTGTCACAGCGGAGCCGCTATCATCCCTCAAGGAATGGTTCATCTTTATGTGTAATACAGCAGCTGTCACCTAAATGGCTAATGGGGAAGCAAAGTAGAACCTTAGTGCTAGTAATCTTTGTCACTTAATAATTTTAAAGACATCAGACTTCCGTGGCTCCTGCAAGTGTGAGTGAGCGAACTTACCGATTTTTGTGTTGTTGTTGGTGGATTAAATGTAAATGGAGAAATCCGCAGTGCTGTTCTGTGCAAATCTAATTTAGTATAATTTGAATAGCCAAGTAATTAAAATGTATTATAGGTAGAAGATGCTGGGATGGTGGAGTGCCTGCGCTTAAGAGGAAGATTTATTGGGCTCGCCGCATCCACAGCAAACCTTCTACAACCACATTAACTAACATCTGTTGGAAAATGTCAAGATGCAGGGCAGAAGATGTGCATGCAGAATATACGCTTCCAGGAGCTGGAATGACAAACCGGAAACGTGGGGCACTTGCAAGTTAAATCAATTAGCAAGGAGACCCGCATCTGTATAGGCACATGCATGCAGGAGGCGTGTGAGACTGCATGAAAGGGCACGGATGTGCACACGCAGGTACACACAAACATGCATCCTTTCTAATTAACATCCAACCCCTGCAGAGTGGGAATTGAAGTTTGATTGGATTTAAGGAACGGGGTAATAATAACAGGACAGTTGATACAAAACGGTGTTGGTGTTGACACTGCACTATTAGTGTTTCCTGGCAGATTATTTTGTTTGCTTTGCCTAAGTGCACAAGATTATAGAAGGTGATTTAGGAGGCTAGGGCACTAGATTTTGAAGGGAAGCCAAGCCAATTTCAATCACACCTACAAACTAGGCTGTTAATCTTTGGGGAGTTACTGCACCTGTGCTGGCAAAGGTTAAGAGGCAAGAGATTCTAGAAAGCACAGATACAACAATTGTCCAGGGAAGAGGGAGAGATCAGAAGGATCCCCTATTCTCTTAGGGGAGAAATCAAATGATGTTTGGAAATCTGAATATATGTACTTACAGATATTTGCAAGATATAGTGCTCAGACACAAAGCACATTCCTAGGAAATACTGGTCAGGAGACAAGAGTTAGTCAGATACATGTAAGATGTGTCTAAATGTCAAAGAACATGCATTCTTTCTTCATTCTGAAGTGGTTGGCTTGGGGGCTACTCTCAGACGCAAGCCTTGGTAGGAAGAACAAACCAGACAGCATGGAGGAACTGAAGACATGGATAAAAATGGACATTTTACCTCCCCTCTGCCTTCCTGATCACTCCACTATTGCATCCCAAAACATTTGGTCAAATATATGACACGCTAATGGGAAATATCAAGGTTGTCATTGACTTCCCTCAACAGACTCATCTTACTGGGGGACTGGGAAGGACTGTGCACTAAAGTCCATGGGTACCAATACTGAGTTCAGGCCCCTGGAGCCAGCAAGCATCTCATTCATGTCTCCAAGAATGCAGCAACAGCTGACTGCTTTGAATAAATATGTAGATTTTAAATAATGTTTTTAAGAGCACCCTCTGGTTTGTGATATCTGAGCCAAAAGCAGGTATTGACACATGTGTTGGAAACATTACCCACACCTGCAGTCTGTCCCCTCAGTCATGTGTCTCTCGACAAGCAAAAGAAGCAACGTAAATCCAGCAGCCATCACATGGGGGGAGAAAGACCCGTAATGTGAGATTTTAAAATAGTTGTTCTGCCTAACATAATAGCAACATAGTAGTCGACACCTTCTAAAATTAGTCTCATTTCTTTGACATTCATTACATTATTAATTAGCAAGATTTCTTGGGGATTCTTATGAATGGGATTCATAAGAATTGTGCAAAATCTGTTTGAGCTTAGTATTCCCCAACATTCACATCATACAGCACGTCATATTTTGGGGTCAGATCTCCCTCCCCTTTCCATTTCAATATGAGAGAGACACCATGTTTGTGCTCTGAAAATCACTGAAAAGATGGCTTTGAGAGATGGAAGTCTGAAAGTCAGAATGACCAGCACTGGGGTGGAGGGGTGGGTAACATCAGTGTCTGATTCCATCTCTCATTTATTCAGACCACAGCCTTTGTAACACACAGAAAGCCGAGGAGGCAATGGCTGCAGACCTGCTTCTGTAATGCAGTGAATGGGGAAGAACTCTGCAATTCAATAAAGTATATTTAGCATATTTTCATTGCACCAAATATCAGCTGATCCACCTCTTATTAGTATAAATGGCATAGATTAGTGTCAGGCATTCTCAACAGTGAAGAAATTACAGGAGTCTGCAAGGCTCATTAAGTTCTGGCTGCATGTTAACGAGGGGCTAGGCCTTATTAATACGAAGAGGAAAAGACAAAAACTAAGCCACAGGAGGAAAAAGGAAAAAGCACATTCCTTCAAACATTCCCTGGCATTTTGACGTGAGAAGACTGCACTGGGCAATTCTTCTCTTTCCTGCTCTCCAAGGCATTTGAGGTGATGCACACATTATTGGCATTACTATTTTTTGCAATGTGTGAAAATTGTTTGGTTTCAGCACATGTCAAGCACAGAATGGAACTGTGCACTTTCAAGTCTTGGCGTGGCTGTCAAGTTTTCTTCTGAATTGCTGTTGTGAAGTTGAGTTTTTGTGTTTTGTGTTTTCAGGTAGCGAGGAAGGGGATCCCTGCCTTGGCCTGGAGAAAAGAAACATTCGTGTCTCTCCTCTACTTGCACACCACACCATGTTGGGGAACCTTGGTGTTGACAGCCGGCCAGACCTTGGGAAGGGAGATAAAGATGAGGAGGCACTGTGCGGCCAGATAGCTAGCCAATCAAAGAGGGCATTTTCTGTTGATTCAAGAGTGTGATACATTCTGATTGGAAAACAACCCCCAGACTCCATTACTAGTGTTCTGTTCAGATACTGAGAGTTAGTAAAGCCTTGCATTAAAGTACAGGGGGACAGGCAGAGCCACAGCTCACAGTAAAATTCAAAGATGGCAGCTGGGCACTGCCCCGGTGCAGCTCTGCCACAGGGTGGGGAACCTCAGGCAAAAGGAAGCCGCCAGGACATTCCACACGGTGCTTCTGAAATCGGTGGGAAGAAAAAGAAAGTCATGGCCATAGATGCTTTAAAATTATAGGGAGCATGCATATGCACACACACAAAAGCACCACAAGGATGAGCGATGATGACTGGTTCTTTCTAAAAAACTAAAAGTTCATTTAGGGTTCGGGAGGGTGGGCATGCCTGTGGAGGTCAGAGGCCAGCTTGAAGGAGTTAGTTCTCTCCTCCCACCACGTGGGGGCTGGGGGGTCGATAGAACTCAGGTCCTCGGACACAGCAGCAAGTCCCTTTACCCAACGTGCCATCCCACTGGCCCCCTTTTCCCATTTTTATTTTTATGTTTTGGTGTATGCATGTGTGTGTGTGTGTGTGTGTGTGTGTGTGTGTGTGTGTGTGTACATGTGTGTGCAGGTACGCATATCTGTATGTGCTGGTGTGGAGGCCAGAGGCTGATTTCCAGGGTCTTGATCTTTCTCCACCTTAGATATTATTTGAGATAGTTCTAGGTTCAATGAACATAGAACTCACTGTTTTAGCTCACCTGGTTGGTCAACTGGACCCAAGGACCTGCCTGTCTCTGTTCCCTAGTGCTGGGTTTACCAGTGCGTGCCATCATGCCCAGAGGTGATGTGGGTCTGGGGGATCTGCACTTTGTGGCTGCACAGCAAACGCTTGTTCTTTGCTCTCTGAGCCATCT